GCCATGAGCAACACTAAACAAATTAGGCTACTTCAAATGGCCCACTTAAGGTGTCGGGATGGTACGTTCATTGTGGTGTCGACATTCCACTTCAATCATCGGTCGAGGCCTATGAAGACTAATCCAACATAAATGGTTTAACATCATCGCTCGGATTTATTGGGTATCAAAAAACTCAACAAGGAGAAAAAAAAAAAAAGGAAAGAAAGGAGGAGGAGAAGGTTTTCAAGCTTGGGTTCTCCATTTCTTCAATTTTCATGTGATTTAGAGGGGTAAGTATGTTGACTTATTTTCTAAGGTTTATGGAAAATTTTCTTTAATTCAAAGTTTATCAAGAATAAGGTGCTATTGATATGTATTTAAGGTTATAATTAAGAATATGACTAAGAAATGGTTATTTGAATATTGATGATGAAGAAAGTGGAACTGTGAAAATGGGTTTGTGAGATGAAGTCATATTCTTTGAAATTCTTGTGATTATATGATGCTAAACAATTAAACTAAGATGTATTTGAGGTATTTAAGAATATTATTACAATGGGAATTACATATTGGAAGATTCATGTTGAAATCAAAGAATATGAAATGGGTTTGTAAATTATAACTTCAAATCTTTAAATGGTTGTAGTTTTATGATATCGATCACTTGATTAAGGATTTAAGGTTTAATTTCTCCACGATTAAGAAATTTTAGGCCATTTTCGAGCAAGGTTATGCAATGACGCTATTTTTAAAATTTTGCCAGAAAAGTGCTATTTCTGTCAATGGATTCGGTGACTATTTTGAATATACAGAATCTGGTGTCACAATACAGTATTGTGGAATTTTGGTGCTGTTGTCAAATCTCTGATTTTCAAGTTTTAAAAGGATTGAATGAAGTTATATGATAAATAATGAATTTAGGTATTGAACTAAATTATGTATAGATGTATATGAAGAAAATAGTGGTTTATGTAAGTATAGTGATTTAATGGATTTGATAATGTATGGTGAATAGTCGATGATGAATTTGAGAGAGAAAAATGTTGGGAAAGTTGGAGATGTAAGAGTAAATAAGAAGTTGAGAAGTTAAGTGATGGATTATATTAATTTAATTGTCATGTTTTAATTTGAGTAATTATATGTATACCGTTATTTCAGGTAGTGGCATGGTAGCTTGGAAGGGCACGTCAATTTAATCAGATTTCTATCCATATATCTGTGAGTGGAGAATTTACTTTTCCAAAAATAAGATTTCTAATTTACAAGCTTATAATCATGTTTATTTAATATAAATGTTTCAATGAGTCCCAATATTTAAAGAAACATATTAGTTACATGAAATGTCTTATTTTCGAGAAGTTGGTAATGAGAATGGTTATGCTGATGCCATTAGAAAATACTCCAATGTAGTTATCTTACTCTAGTGCACTGAGGGGCTACGGCCGTGTACTAGAGTCGTGTATTTGTCTCCTATACACTGAGGGGCTACAGCCGTGTATAAAGGTGACTCTTATCCACTGAGGGGCTACGACTGTGTGTAAGGGTACCTATTATGCACTGAGGGGCTATAACCGTGTATAAGGATGATTACGTTATTTCCACTTTATGTACTGAGGGGCTACAGCCGTGCATATAGATTATGTTTATTTCCACTTTGTGCACTGAGGGGCTACGGCCGTGTACGTAAGTGTTGATGTTCATCAGTAGATGATTACATGGGGTATATTTTGATGTGATTATGTAGTTATCTTACTCTAGTGCACCGAGGGACTACGGTCGTGTACTAGACTCGTGTATAAAGGTGACTCTTATCCACCGAGGGGCTACGACCGTGTGTAAGGGTACCTATTATGCACTGAGGGGCTACAGCCGTGTATGAGGATCATTATGATATTTCCACTTTGTGCACTGAAGGGCTACGGCCGAGTACGTGGATCAGATAGTTTATGTTCCTATGACTTTATAGCTTTCAGATCATTAGCAAATAATTACATGGATTGATATTCTCATGCGATTATCCAGTATATAATGGATTATTGGCTTTCAGCTTACATTTTCTAACTTATAGTTTAGCTTATGGATATTCTCATGCGATTATCCAGTATATAATGGATTATTGGCTTTCAGCTTACATTTTCTAACTTATAGTTTAGCTTATGGATATTCTGATGAGAATATCCAGTATATAGTGGATTATTAGCTTCCAGCTTACGATTTAGCTGATTGAATTCAGAGTATGGTTTTAGATTATTGAATTCAACTAAAGTACTTACTCTTCTTGTATCAATTATTCTCATTTTTAGATATAAGCTCGAGTCTAGTTTATGAATTAGCACCAGCATTATGATGTTATATGACTTTATGGTACAGATATACGATTGTGACTTACAAAACTGATAGCTTTATACAGATTTTTGTTGATGTCAGATTAGCTATACTCGACATGTTTTACGATTGGTTAATCAGAATAAAGAGTAAGAGTTTTATGATTTTAGCATGGTTATGTTCTAACAAAAATGATCAGAATTTGGGAATTCTTAAAGTTGTAAGGAAATAAATCAGATTTTTTTTTCAACAAATAAGTATAAATGGAAAAAGTATGTAAATCTACGAACCATCCACTTACTGAGTTGCAAACTCATAGATTTTATTACCTTTTTCTTTAGCAGGTAGTAGTTGAATTGAGCAGCTTGGAGTCTGTCGCTCCACCGATTTGAGCCACGCACATTGTCATTAATTGTATGACTCATTTTGTTAATTTACATAGTATATATTTTTTTTAGGGTACATGCATGTGTTGTCATAAAAGTTAAAGTTGTAATTCATGCATTCATATCATAGGCTCATTGCATATTGGGTATTTTAAATACATTTGGGACTTTTGTTTGTAAAGTATTTGTAAAAGTTGACTTTCCAAGTACTGTATTGTGAATAGTTTGAGTGGTGAGGGGACGGCGTACCCTGTTTTAAATTATATGTACTGGTTTAAGTATATTGATTTTGTTTCAGGTGGTTTTAATCCATATTACAGGGGGAACTCTGTCAAAATGTGTCAACAGTTAGAACATGTCATAGTTGCCTTAGTGGTGGGTCCGGTATTTAGCTGATATCTACCATCGGCGTGTCAGGTCCATTACGATGATTTGGGACGGGTCGTGTCAACAAGTGTCTCCATTCCCATCACCATCGCCGTTGGAGGAGGAGAAGCATCAAATTGCAAAACTTCCATTGCAGTTGAAGGTTGGTGTAGAGATGAATCAGAGAGATCTAATCACCTCAAATGCTTGGAATTGTTCTTTCAATTTCTATTTCCTGTTTCTATGAATTTCAATAAATCTGTTTACAATTTAGCAAATCAATACAATTCTATAATTTCTGCAATATTTCATCTGTTTGATTGAATAATCAGGTGGTTCCTATCAGTCCTGCTTAAACGTTGAAGAGATTGAGTGCTTTTCACGTCCACGTCAAGGAACTCGAAAATTCCTGGCAATCCTAACCACTTTCCTTAGTAGCTCTTGACTGAAGAACGGACATTTTAGTCATACTTTCCCGAGGCTATGGCGCCTCTGGCTAACTTTGCAAACGCCATTGTCATAACTGGTACACTAAAGAAGATTTACCGGGACCTTGATCCAAAGAATACGACACTTAACGAAAAATGCTGCAAGAAAATCTGATGGTATATTTGGATCATTTAACTGAAATTTGGTTTCTTTTACAAACAAAATGGAGCTTGCGTGTTCTTGTGCTTTTTTATTTTCTTGCATGGTTCCTTGAGGGCAAGTTGGACTGAAATTCCCCAATTGTATTTTTCTTTTGGTACCTCTGGCAATGCTCTGTTGTTTGATTACTTCTGCATGTTTTGTAAGCTGAACTGAGCTTAATAGTCTTACTCTCCTGGTTATATAAATTGTCTCTCAACCACTTTAAGGACAAGAAATTCCTTGTTAAAATTATTAGGAAATATCAAGATTGAGCTCCTGAACCTTTATATTGTAACTTTGGGTCCTAACCTTAAAAATTGAGGTTATCGATCCCCACCATATTAAAATCAGTGAATATAGATCCCTATGCAAAGAAAATCTCAATGTGAATGTTAAAATCCAATACGTTTAAATAGAAAATGCTAGCCATAAATTAAAAAAAGAAATAAAATTTGAAGCAAAAAAAATTCAATCTACATGGCCAAAAATCATATCCGAATGAAGTTTATACTTCATATTACCTTTTCTAATCCAACCAGAAAAGCTCCCCGTTTATTCATAACTCAATAATAACACCAATGAACAATGCTTACCTCTTTTAAGCTAGGACCTTCCATAATCGAAGCCAGTATATATTTCTCAGACCAACCTCGGTGGTGAATCGGGTAAAACTAAAGAGAGAAGATTGTTTTCACTTCAAATGTAGATGTAAGAAAAGAATTGTAAGTACATTAAACGGAGCACTGAATCTTTTTTATAGCTCCTTGGAAATCATCCCATTGAATGAAGCTAATGTAGCTTTTGTAAATACTCATAAATTGTGTCTACAACAATCCCAATTTGATGCTGACCTACTGTTTGTTGTATGCACTCTGATACTCATTTGCCCCACTTCCACAACCTACATTAGCCATGCCATCTCTTGAGCCATTCCCCATATATTCCCAACCACTTCTATTTCGAATCCATGGCGGTGCTAACTTTGAATTATTCCACTTATGCTGCCTAAAGTATTTCCTCCCCAGGTTATAAGAACCCCGAGGATGAACGTTTGGATGGACATTTGCACATGAAACTCTCATATCTGGTAAGTCCTTACAAGTGCCGGTATGGTTTTGACTTAAGGGATGATTGGCACGATTACCATAGCACTGTTCTGCATGTCCTGCCGCCTCACTCATTGATGCACATTTGGCAGAGGTTGGTAGCTCTCTCTTGCCACGCAGATATGGAGGCAATGGAGGAAAAGGATGGAATGGCAATCCTGGAGCTACATTCCAACTATTAAAAGATTCTGCTTCAGGGGTCCCAAATTGCTGCATGATAGGAAATGGAACACCATAAGATACAGACAAGTGTGAAATGAACCTCTGTTGTGAATCGCCCAATACTACATCAAACGTATGCTTCATGGGCATAGCTCTTTCATGTTCAATAGCAGTCGAACAAGCATCTGATGGAATAATAGAGGCATTAAGCGGAGAATTAAATCCAGGAGGAGCATCCTCATCAGTGTTCTGCTCTTCGTCATCTGCCACGTGCGGGTACGACGCCAAAGGATTATCCCATCGACTTTTACGCTTGCGTGTTTTTGTACCATTGGCACCACAATCACTAGTACATGATGCATGAGATCCCTCTGACACACCACTAATAACTGCACTGGGTTCAATGCAGCAGTCTATTGCTTCTGAAGGCTTTCCACTCCTATGACTCAAAGCATCATGTAAAAAGGGAAACCTATTGTAGTTTGAACTGTGATGAAATTCCATTCTACCAAGATCTCTGTCCATGCAGCAATTTTTCCTGATGGGCCTTCGAATCCACCTATCCCGAAAGTGCCGTGCAATTTGATGGACCTGATGCATAGTACAGGAAAACCAAACTCAAATTTCCAGCCAACAGGCCAGCGATATGAAGTCATTCACAATCTTTCAAAGAATCATTGAAACAAGATATTCAAGAGAGTCAAAAAACCCATTAGAATATCGAGCTAATAAAGTAGCAATTTCACAATAATGAAATATCTATATAATCACCAACGCAGGAGCACGTATGAGAAATTATGGTCAATGAATGCCTTGTAGAAATTGGGGAAATTGCAACTGATGTTTTCTATCAAACAAACCAAATCATCTTTCACTCGAACTCAAGGCAAATTAGACTTCTTACAACAAAATGTACTTTCAGAGGTCTTGTCATCCTAAAACATCAAGTACGAATTCCAGATTACTCTAACTACTTCTTTCAAGCTATTATAAATTATGAAAAAAAAAATTCGAGATCCTGTGTAAAGCAGCCCTTAAAAATCAAATTTACGCCATAGACAAATCTTCAATCAAAATCTTTCTTAATTTTCAGAATACATTCTATATTCATTGAACTTTCTATATAGGTCAACCTTTTTGAATCTAATCAATTGTTTATCATCTGCCTGTATAATCCATTAAATACTAGCTCAAAACATATAAAATTTAGTGACAAATGGATGAGAGTAAAACTACCATTTTATGTAGACAGTTTTATTTATATTATGCTAGGAAATAAATTCAACATGTTTTTTGGCTCCGTCAAATACTAGAAAATAACTTTAATGATAAGCACTTAAAAATCTATGATGCCACAACATCTTGCGTTAAATTTTGATTCTTAACAAAGTAATGGAACGGTCCAAGTTGAACTAGTGTGTTTGTAATGTAAAATATGAAGCATTATAAATATAAGTCAATATCAAGTAACTTCAAAACTTAGTAATTTTGGAAAGAAATTGTCTTGTTATTTCACAGCATCCTAGATATTTGAAACTTCAGAATGAAACTTAAAAACCACTTCATAGCTTCAAAAATAGTTAAAATCCAACCACCTCAAAATATTATGCCCTCCACCTAATTCTTACTGGACTTCAACACACCTTGTAGAAATATTCACTACTAAACTTACATGCGAAGTTTTCATTTTTGTTCGCATTAAACATTCCTAGTTTGAGCTATTACTACTTTTTTCCCTTGTTCGGGCATCACTATTTTCTTACTTTCTTATTTGAGCCATGGCATTACTATATGTTTTCTAGACATAACACATGAAATTATTGCAGACAAAATCGATTAAACAAAAACGAAATTGAAAGGGACATGTCCTCCAAAACACAATGGGAAGAAACACCATACACAAACTTCTAGCAGGCTAACCCAAATCAATCCAGGATGCTCGAATGCAGTTTTGTGTGTTTAAACTTTTAAAATACTAATTAGTTTTCAACCAGGATACTCGAATGCAATCCAAAATTAACTATAAAAGGTTGTCAGACGTCCTTTTTCCATTCAAAAAACATGTTTCAGTCTTTGTCAAAAATTTCAGCAAACATGGCTGCAAAATAACTAATTGACATGAAATGGAAAGCAGTTTATTTGTGGTACCTGTTTGTCAGCATGTTCTGTCAGAATTAAAATTGAATCTCTAAAGCTGCATGACACCATTACATACAGTTCAGAAGAAACTCAAAACATAGAGATATTATAAACAAAAAGACTAAAAAGTTACATTATTTGATCATAGCATTCCAAGGTGACAACAATTCTTTTGTTTACGATAAATATTGATGAGAATGCTTCTTGTTGATCAATATCAGATGAAAATTTCTTCAAACAAGTAACTTCTCTTTAAATCTATTCATAAATTTGTAGAGTTCAAATCGCAAGCACGGATTAACAATCCAAAACAAAATGCAAATAAGACGCACCGTGCATAAGCAAAAAAATTGTCATCAGTGTCACAGCAAGGAAGGGGGGGGGGGGGGGGGG